CTCAATATTGAATCTAATTATATTCATTTCTATTTCTTTTATGATATCTGGATTTCTCGTCCTTAAATTACGAAATTCTATTTTTTATATTTCATTTAATTCTTTTTTTTTTTTTTTGTTAAAATATCATCGCAAGTTTGTTGCGCCAAATTTTATGTGACTCACAATTTTTTAATTTTAAATTTATATCCCTGACGTTACATGGCGTACAAATTTCGAACTAGCTACTACTTAAATAACCTACATGAAACGGCAACCTTAAACAATATAAAATATCGATAATTCTTTAATATATGCGATCAGTATGCGTAGAAATGACTATCGTTAATTAAACGATAACTGTAAACACATCGAAATGCGTGTCTCGATGCTGCACGTAAGAATGTACTGCTCAGAAGCTTAGAATCGATTCTGGACAATAGCTAACCCACTTTGATCTGCGAGCAGAGCTACTTTATACTCGTAGCACGTAGCATTTTTGGAGACAACGCGATCTGATTTGAAAAGTATAATGGCAGTCGGATTTTTCTTTGACCGCTTCTTCATCGTCAATAACTTCAAAGAAACATTCTTCTAATTTGAAGTTCTAGATTGTTTTCCAAAGATTGCTAGTTATTAAGTTACATTACTTCTCTAGGTCAATGACTCAAACGTAATGCTGACATCAGAGTCATCTTCGCTAAAACACTTAGAAGATAGAAGCATTTGAGAAAACGATTTGATAATTTAATGGAAGGGATATTGAGGATATCGATCGACAAGAGATTAACAAAAAAAAAAACAAACGGTCAAGCGGAAAATCGGTGAAAGTTCTTTGTGGGAGAGCAGACTGGGCTGCAACCGCGCCAGAAATAGGTAAAACATGTCACGCCAAGAGTTCGCCATCGGTTCACTTTCCTACACGCGCAACACGTAATGGATCTTTACCTGATTCTTCGTTGACGTAACAGAAATTATCTGCACGAAGAAACAATCTGAGAGGAAAACGAACGTAAATGTAGAACGATGGTATTGTGCGCTAGTCGTTTTCCAGGACGACGTGAATCGCGGATGACGGATTATATAGTACAGAAATCGTATCCTTTTCCCACGTGTATAAGTATGTTGACATATTTTCAAGGTAAACGGTGATCGTTCCAGAGAATCCTGCTAGATACTTCATTTTATGACTTACTCTTCTTCCGTATCGCAAATGTATGCCAGTCTCGTTCATTCGTTCTCTATGTACAAACTTTCTTGTCCTTCTCACCACGGTGAAGGTCTTTATCAGTTACTCTGAATACGTCATTAATGTTACGCAAGCTGTTCATCGGTCAATTAGTCGTTTGCTCCTTTATACAGGGTGTATCGAAAATATTGAATATTAAATAGTTTCACGATATTTTACTTAGGTCCATAGATGTATCTTATCCGTACAGAAACATAATTCACAAATTTAGGACTCATGAATCAATGTCACGTTTCTGAATTCTCAAGTGTCTTTTTCCTCACTTCAACATTCCTTCTTATATTTCTTTCATTTCAATATTAATTGCGCCATGTCGTTTCAAATTTTCTGAAGATTCCATAAGGCACGATGAATACTATTTATTAAGTCTTCAATCTTGATGTTCGATTGCGTACGTGACAAACAGGAGCAACACGCACGCCTGAAATTCTTTTACTCACCTAATATATGTAACGTGTCCCAGTTGCTTGGCTTACTTCGAGCATGTGTAAATCGAAACCAGTTCCGATGCATCGCGTCTGTGCAAATACTTTCAGCCGGCCGACGTGCGTCTTTCTCGCTTAAAGGCACGCAGGTACTTCCGATTCGAGGCAGCTTGCGCAATCTGCATGTTTTGGGAAATTCGCTGCAAATAGTGACACGGTTCTTTCGGCCTACTTTGACAGTCGAGTTTCTCTTTTTTGTTTACCCGCTATTTCTAGTCATTTTTCGTCTCTTTCCTCTATCCGCTGTCAGTTCTTGAAACCTCATAAAGTTCATTAAAATTTCCATGAAACAAGCAAGCATTAAATTCAAACATGATCGAGTACTCTCGATTTGTACATTTCCAGGAAATGAAAAAGAAGAGTTTTATCTTTCTAATTTCCATAAACACCAGCTTTCATTTCTTCTGTAGCGTACACAACAAGTTTACAGTAGAAA